CATTCATCTCGAACGAGAAGCAAGTTCGTGGTGCAGGATCGCTTTTGCCTAAACCCGTGTTGAGCTGTCGAGAGAATGCTGTATCTTTCGAGATGTTCCATCAGAGAATCGGCCACAATTGACTCCATGACCTTCGATAACACTGGAAGCAGGGTCGCAGGTCTATAGTTAGCGGGGTCACTACGACAACCACCTTTGTATATGGGAGAAATGACTCCTTGTTTCCATGTATAACGGCACAATAATAAATAAAGCTTTGTTTGGCAGTAGTCGCTTTTTGTAATCGTTTTTAATCAGGTGATCATTGACCATTGGCATCGTTCATCCTACAGCGCAGCTTTTCCAAACCCAACATCGACGAACGACGTGATACAGGAAGGATGATGAGTTTTCAATATCGCGCTCAACAACCGTATCGTCGATACAACCAAATATTAACTGACTGTTTGGATCCCGGTGCTGAGGCCTGTTCCGTTCTATGCGGAATTCTCGATTTTCTAGTCGAGCCGATAATTGTACTAGTTCGGTTAAACTGTGGTATCATCAACTCGTGCGTGTCCGAGGTCGATGTGCCTGTGCGGTTTATCTTTGTTTACCTCGGTCCTCCTCGACCGGAAATGAACTATCCAAAATTGGCTCGTGTGTTTGCTGTAATGATGAGCAATCCGGTAAGTTCAATCGATTTTTCCATTTTAATTCCTAAAACCAAATGTATAGGTGAACTCATGAAAGGGGGCATTAAACTCAGTTTCATTTTCATCTGCTATTCATTTAGAAACAGATAAACTTTGCAAACTAGAATATTCAAACAATGCGGGCGTATACCGAAACGAACAGCGTTTTTGCTGCGGAAACAATTCGAATAAATTTTGCCCAGTAAATAACTTAAATTTATACTTCGATGAGACGCAACGACCAGAATATCAACCCCAGAGACAAAAAGATAGTTTTATGATCACGGCTCTTTGAATGTTTATCGTCGATTATATAAAGTAATGTTGTTGAGCACGGATTAAACATTGCTTGAGGGAAGAGCTTAATACTGTTCTTGTTGAAAAGTATTTAGGCAGCGCGAAGATAAGTTATCTTACAGTTTGTCATTCGTATACACACTTTGATCAGATTGAGGACAGACATGATACTAAAGTGACCAGAAGCATAACAGAAAGGAAGGATTTGCGTATTGATGAAGAAATTGTTATTAAAAAGTTATAGACAAAGAAGATCAACGATAACAAGTCCACTGACATCCTCAGCGTGGAGAGTTGGTCTTGCAACCGTCAACCAACACACTAAAACACAGGAATATATGCCCTTTCCTTAAGGGCAAGTCTGGAGAGATCAAAGTAACTTTAAAGGTGTCGCAGGTTGGCGAAGCTACTGTAGCTTTTGTTAATTGTAACATGTTATCTTCACTAACTCCAGCTGCAAACAGGCCCTCGAAGTACTTAAAGTTTTACAAGTGAACAGAGGTTGACATTAGGTGTTCAAGCTGATAATGCTTCATTACTAGAACTAAATCAGCTTCACGATGCTTTTGAGGCTTCGCACTGATGAGTAACCCAAAACGATTACGGGTATAAATGTGCACATTCTCTGTTTATCTGAGCATCCGAATTACCTCTGTAGTTGCCTTAATAGAATTTAAGATGCGAAATGACATACGTTTGTATCACGTATTTTTTGTTCGCTGTGGTTTCTAATGAAAAGCAGTTTTTCTTTTTTCGCCAGTTATTTATTCACACAAACTTGTACATCACAACTGATGCAAGAAGTGCCGTCCTTTAAATGGTTAATTTAATTTCTGACGGATCACGGAACTACCAGCTGAATTGTACTACTTATTTGGCACAAAAGTATTTAGTTAGACGAATAGAATACAGAGGGAGCATAGGAAGTTTCTTTTACTTTGTGAAGTAAATTTCTGATGCCTTTCCTGAGCAGAAAAAATGATGACTGCCTTGGTGTAGATAAATCATATTTTCATGTTATACCATGCAAGAGGAAACTCACAAAATATCGTTTTGTTTTTACCCCGGTTGGATGAAATTAGACTTTTCGCTCTTGCGTGTATGATGCAACAAACGTTGGTGATTTGTTGAAAGCTACCGACCTCTTTATGACGGAATCACTGGTCATGCCCATTACCCGCTACACGCATCCGGACGCGTTAGCAGGTATGGTGCGGCAGATTGAAGCGTACAAACGAGAGCTAGCACCGGACAGTGAGGGTGACAGGAGAATGCGCAGTACGTTATCATTCATCTGGTATACTGGTACAAAAACTACCCGTATAATTTATTATAATCTTTTGCTACTATAACCGTCGATGAGTGATCTCACTATTGCTGTAATTGCACTAATACAGGGAATCATTGTTATGAATGAGAAACATTCATGACCCTATCCGATTTGTTTCTTTTCAATTTGAAAACTACTTTAGTTAATTAAGAGGTGGCATACATGATGGAATACGCAACATGAGGTGAAGCAATGTAAACTTCTAATGTCAGTTTGCTTTAACTAAGGAGAGCTGTAACGTAAGAATGTATTTCCATTTTGCTCATCAAATGTTTGCAGACCGCTGGATTACATTATTCCACGAAGTAGCCCATTGAAATAGGCCACTAAAACATAAGAAGGAATAAAGGTGCCATAAAGCGTTTAGTTGCAATTAACTTTCATTTGTTTTTTCTCTTCCCACCTGATATACAAATAATTTGCTCAATCACTGTTGAAAGTATGCTCATGTTTCATTCTAAAGTATAAAGAAAAAAACAAGCATGCAAAAATGCTTATCATTGCACTTGGATATTATCTCGGCTTGTCTATTTAACCGCATCTTTTAAGAGATTCTCAAAGGAAATTAAGTTTTTACTTATACAGCTGATGCTGTTGGAAAATAGCATTCCGATAATTACATTTGCTGCATTGAACTTAACAAGAAGTCTTGAAATAGAAATATGAACTCACCGGAATCGCAGCCAGATTAAACCACTCAATTATCCTGGATAAACACTAGTCGAAACAGTGTTCTGCGACTTAATAAATACAATACATGTGAAATCGAAGATCCTAACGATTTCTATTGTAAAATGGCCAGGTTAACGTAAGCGGTAGTATCACAAACATTAGATCGGCATGCCAGAGCATGGAAGAAGGATATCATTTTCAAGAGCAGCTCTCATGCTATTTTAAAGAACTATACTTATAAATTGCCTTGCCTACAAAAGCCGAAAATTTCCTTTACCATCCAGGAGGCTAACTTTCGTGAAATTGTCCCTCTCAGTGTAAAATATCTCGTCTTCGGTGGACCTGACTGTAGAAATAGAAGTAAAAATCTTCTCTTCACAGAATGTTCATGTTTCTTGTCCGTGCGGTTCACAGCAAAGCCGCATAATATGATTCGGTCTGTCTGCACCATGAAACTTGGTGACATTCAATGCTTGTGGATGTGAGTTCGGGCATAACTACTTCGAGTTGTGTAGAAACAATCCTGGTTTATTGTTGATCTACAGTTATCATGTTAGCTGTACGAATGAATGAAGCAAAAGGAGATCTACCATCATCTGTGAGGTTTTATAGGTTCCGAATAAATTTCGGCACGGTCAGCAAAGTGAGCCATAGCGGACTGTAGCACATCATTTATCAGTCAAACTGTCTACTTTAATGCTTCTGACGTTGATTGAATGACATCGGAAATGAAAGTGTTATGCGCAACACAGGTAAATTGGAGTTTTGTAGATATAAAGGTAATTGGTTTACTTGAATTATTTTTAAAAGGCAGAGTAAAAACTGTTTGTTCAATTTTTAAACTTCAAACAATGTTTTTGTTCTGAAATGTATCTGAAAACTGCTTATTATTTGATATTCAACTTTCTGTTTATAGTAAAAGTTGAAGGCAAGTACTGCAAACGATTACCGAGTTATCGTCCGCGAAAATCAAAGTGAAAGAACGAAAATGACATTGACAGCAAAGCACAATGCTATGCTCACACTATAGACCCTTCCTGAACCATATGCTCCAACGTTTTGCTTAATCACTGCTTTCATTGTTCTTGGATTTTCGCTTCCAGTGATGCATTTTCTGAAGAATAAATGGATGTTAAAATGCTGTTTTATTGTTCTTCGCGCCTTGAAATCGATCATTCGTTTTTTCTGCTAACGTCCGTCCTAATGAAAATCAGGTGCTATGACCTCAAAAAAGCAGAGTCAAGTGGAACTAGGCACCATTGGATCGGGGAGTAGAAAGCTATCGGCACTAAACTTGGCACTTAAGGATGGTGCATTACATGACGCTGTAGTTCAGCGTCTCTCCCTTGCCACCATCGAGCCGTTAAGTTGTCGCAGGCGATTTGTTCAGGACTTCTGCCCACCGTTTGTGGATGTGGCTCGCGGTTTACGACCATGGGTTCAAAGAATGCCCAGTGACTATCGGGACGCATTTCGGAAGGATAATGTGGGCATTGTGTTTTGCAGCGTATTGTTTCTCTATTTTGTCAATTTGGCTCCTTGCATCACATTTGCGGCCTTACTCAGTGAGTTTAAATCTTTAGTTGCTGTCCTGTTATAGAAAAACGTTTGTAATTTGTCCGATGATCAATGAATTTGAACATTAGTATCTAGCTTAAAAGTAGAACTTAAAAAAACACAACGAAAACGGTTGTGATTGATTTTCAGTGGATATCATAAATGTGAATCTTATAATGTTAATTTGGTCCTGATGTATTGCGAAATCCAAGATGCGTTTGTTTCGGGGGTGTTTGTTTACCCATAATGAAGCTTATTTTCATCCGAAATAAATAAACACTTAGTTATTATTACAGTCCGCTAGTGGGATATGTCATAGAACGACATGCGGTTCATTGTAAATCGGATTTATCTGCTAGGTTCATTGAAGAATCAAAGTTCATTTATCTCCGGTCCGGTTAGGAACGTATCAATTTTGCACAAATCTGCTAAATGAGATCACCGTGACGTAACTTTCACGCAGCCTCGGAAAATTGAATGAAGAGATCATAGTGCAAAACAGATGAGCTTCTAGTATGTTAGAAATTTTGCATCAAGAAGCAACTTACATGATATTCCAATAGACCTACTTTTTCAAGTTTTTCTCAACCGGGAAGAAGTGCTACTTTGGGGCCATCTGAACACTTCTGCTTTCTGGTCTGTCATCGCTGTTCAGTCAGAGATAGGCAGTCTAAAGGCTGCAACCAGAGCCACTGCATAAAGTTCCGAACGTTTATGCAAATGAAAACAATAGGTTTAATAAAAATAATTATGTTGGGCAAAATGATATATGCACCTATAAACTGTTTTTAAATTAGGCAAGGACATATGCATTTGTGCACATTCCACAAAACCGGTAATCAAAGATAGCCTGTTTCAGAAATACTGTGAAGAATTAGTGATTTAACGCGGAGGAATAGCCACAGGGCATCTGATTAGACTATTTTGAACTGATTATGTGTTTGATTTAAATCTAGATGTCTAATTAATTAATTAGTTTCTCATTGTTGTTTTTTTGCGCCTTTGAAGGACATAAATATTAAGCGACTTAATCAAGGCCTTAAGGAACTGCTTCTCATATTTCGAATGTAATTAGAGTATGATAAATCAGTATGCATCACGAAAATAATCCTAAGTGCTTTATGGATTCCTCGGAGTTTCGACCGTTTATAAACAACCGCGAGCGCAACTTACTTGAGCATGAATTTAATTCCTTTTCCCTGCCCAAACAGATACACAAGTCAGTTCCAAGTATACAGTCAGTTTGACTGTATTCTCGACTGGTGCCTACTTGATAATATTCAACCTGCTGGCAGGTCAACCTCTGGGATTTGTTGGGATCACCGGGCCGACATTTATTTTGGAATCAACATTAGCCTCGGTCAGTGAATTCAATCCCTTTCTTTGATCTCATAAATTCAATGTGAACTACTGTGTTAAAACATTTGACATAACTATACCTAAACGAACACTTTATCGAGTAGATTTACCGGATTGATAAAAGTAAAAAGATATCACCTAACGATTTGTCGACTCGAGTGTTGAACATAGTGTGCGAATAAGGCTGCTATTCATGTTTCTAGTAGCCAAACATGCAGCGTTTTGGTACGCCATTCAGTTGTGATAGATTCGATCACTGATGGAGTGGTTCATATTGTTTAGAAAGCGATTCAAAGNCCTTTGCTCTTCTGTTTTTGCATACAGTTAGCTGAAGGGGCTGGACTGGATCCGTCCATATTACGGTTTTGGACAGCAATGTATTGTGCATTATTCGGGGTCATATTCGTTGCTGGAAATCTAACCGTCATGGCAAACCATATTCGTCGCTCATTGGAGGAAATTTTCAACAGCTTTATCGCTTTTTTCTTTTTACTGAAAGCGTTGTTCACCATGTTCAAGGTGAGATTTTTACCGATTTAAAGATTCAATTTGATATATTCCGTCATTGAATGAACTCGATTAAGGCTTTTATTATAAGAATGATGAATGTATCAATTATTATAATTTATTATTATACTTTTATATGAAATTGTACAAGATGTGCACAATGGTTAGAACGCTTACGAGACAGCAGACCAAATATCCTATTGAATCAAAATTTGTCATAAAAAGGTTTGCCAACTTTCTTTATATCTTGAAAAAGAGGCCAAAATGAGTACCTAAATTTATTGGTGCGAAAATAGGTTTGGAAAAGTTAGAAATGAATTAATTTATTACTGCGCATTAAACAAGCCAAATTGTTTCATTTTATGCAGCTGATTCCCGGTGCACCAGTGAACAATTCACCCGAAGGCCTATTGAAATTCTCAAACCAGCTAGCAATTGCAGGTGCGACCCTGTTTCTAGCATTCATCAAGTTACAATTCTGCTTATTCTTGGCCCGAATTAAACGTGGGAATTATTTCCGGAGAATCGTAAGTAAAACTTATTTTTAGTTACTTATCACCAATCCTTCGTTACGTTTGTAAGTATATTATGTATTTGTGTGTAACTTTTCACTTACTTTTAAGATACTGAATCCGTTACTCGCACAATAGTATTTCTGATTCTAAATAAGCTTCTAACCTATATGGTGTAATAATGTTCTGGATGATGTAGAAATTTATAAAACCAATGGGTTGGAAATATGTTGAGATCTATCAAGTCGTAGTAAATCAGGTGAAGGAACTCTCTAATAAGTAATTAAAATTTAGTCTTGCCTCAACCGTTGTTTAAATAAAAATAAGTAGTACCTAAGATTATGAATGAAGGTAGTTGTTAGCATTGATTGGGGTGAAAGCCTATCTTGCATTGTCTCCCACCCTAAGTTGAATTTATTGATTTGAGTGAATTATATTTAAAACCGATCTGACATTAAATACTTCGCAACGACTTTAGTAGGGAAAAGGTTACTCTTCTGTTGAACAAATACATAATTTTCACAGGGCAGCAATGATGAAAAATAGCAATAATTGTTTCTGTGAATACGGCGACAGACGAAGAAGAAGATAAGAAACCATAATGAAGCCAGTTTTGCGTTCTCCTTAGTTATTTTCTGTTCCTAACCACGACCAAGCGTAAAACCAGGCAAATATTTTGAATATAGTAATTCACTTATACCATATGTTGCACGTTTGTCAACAAGAACATCGTCAAAACCCACTGAACCTCGTCTCAAACTTGAACGAAGAACTGCGCTAGGCTGTCCTTAGATAAATTGCTCCCCGTTTATTATGTTTCGTGTGCCGGTTAATGTATGCAATTTTTTAAAACTGAAATGTGGGCTTCGGATTTTACAAAGGTAACACAAAATACAATACAATACAATCTTTCTCTGTCAAAGTTAACAAGAGCGTTCTAAGCGACCGCAATATATTGGGAAAAATGCCACGGAAAGTTTGCTTTCTCAATAGAATATAAAGTGAATATTGGAGTCCGTACTTTAGACAGGTCCAGTATTTGAATTTGATATTCGTTTAACTGTGAGCGATCTTTGACTTCTAATATGATATTCTTTTACCGGATTCACTTAGAAAAATAGTGCTTGTGTCTCAGACCAGCAAAGTCTCGGCACATTTTCAACTTTGCTTAAGCATTCTCCATTCCCAATGACCCGAATGGTGCATCGTTCCATAACTGATTCTCAATTGATTTTCTGTCTACAACAAGGGATGTGATGTTTGCCCAGCTAACCGAAAAGAGAACCATCACCTTGTTCACAACCTCTAGTCTTTAAACTGACCAGTGAACTTTAACTGTGCACAAAAGAAGTGTCATCCTCACACCACTGGATTGGAGGTGATAAAAAGAGCATTACAACTAATATCAACCGGTGATCAGACAGTCTCGTGTCATGTTGAGCAATTCAAAGAATCGGAAATCGCAGAAAGTGTTTCAATCAGATTGCTTAGATGGTCAGAGGAATTTTAATTGCTTGAGGTCTCGGTTGGGAGGGACAAAACGATGTGAAACGATGGAGTAGTCGCATTGTCAGCTATGGTCAATAAAGAACTACAGAAAGGATAACGCATGTTGTTCAACAGGTTTTATTTTGATGCCGGACTCACACGTATGAATACACAGTTTGTATAACTCTGACGTATACCATCTGTTTTTTATATGTGAAACGTAACTAATTGTCAGCCTGAATGGTTCCGCTGGATAGTAATTCAGGTGTAAAAAATGAAAATTGGATCTAACTCATGTAACAATACTTCTACAGGATATGTGGCACAGATGCGTTCCGAACATGATATTAGTGTAGCGATGTAGTAGTCGCGTTTTATGTGGGTAGTTCTTTGCGTACCAATGGCATTGGGGAACAGCTTCTCAGGATCTTCCGGAACAGCATAATGGATTCGGTGGTGCATTGAGACAAATTACAAACACACGTTGGGACTGCTTTACGATTGATGCGGAGTCTGGAAGAGAACGTGACTACTCTGTTCTATCTAAACCGATTTACCTTCTTATCATGTCTTTTTACAACAAACAGCTAGATACCTCATTTGTAGGTTTATGATATTGAAACTGTCTTCAGTGAAGACTGGGCTATTTTACACTTTTATTTTTGTGGCGGTTCCACTATGCTTATCCGCAAGTCGAAAAAATATATATCTGTTATTTTATGTATGTATAATATGTAATATATTAGAGTAAAAAAAGTAGCAATAGTAAAATAAAGTATAAGATTTATTTTTCTTTAAACCTTGATTCCATAATGCAAAGGGTGAGCAACGTTGTCATGTGTTTAAACAAAGACAAACTAACCCTCACCGAAGAAAGTTCTCATGTCATAAATCTACAAGTCAGGTAATGTATTTCGATGCTTCAGTTCCGACTGGCACATCCAAAAATGTTTTTACGTAATCGCGGTGTGAACCCGGTTTTAAGATTGAAGCACATTGATGAAAGCATTTGGCGTTCGCTCCGCATGCAGCCTTTTTAGCGTCAAATAATATTTACATAACGTTTTGCAACAGCATTAGGAAAAAAATAATATTTTACGTTAATCCTATCTTTGAACTGAATTCAAATCGCAATCTCGGGATATTTATGCCAGTTAATGGCGTAACTAGGTTGTTGGTATATAGGGCTGTCGCTAATAAAGCTTAATTTCATTTTTACATATTCAGATTCGCAAGCTGCTTGGTGCTTTGAACGTGCCCCTCGGTATGCTTCTTATCACTGCATTGGAACGAATATTCTTCCGCAATTTCAAACTTCCAACCGTAAACATCCCGCCGTCAAACAAAATAGATGCATCACGATGGTTTAATATTCCAGACCTCAGCAAGATAACGGATTATGGGAATGCCTCTCCAGGTCTTATACATGGTGTGGCTGTGGCCATCGGATTGACCTTGGCGATCATTATATTTACCGAAGTCGCCCTAAATGGGTAAGCGTTATTACTTCATCATAGGACTATGGACCAGTCTACGAGATTGATTATCGGTAAATTTTCATCTCGGAAGCAGAGTGAATATCGAAAGGAATTGATAAACATTACAAAATTCTCGAAGCTGCTCACTGAATAAGTTCAACTTGATGTAAAAAAGTATATATCGTACAATCTAACGGTTGATGTTCAGCTCCTGGTTCTATAAACTCATTCGGGTGAAAGTGATTGCTTTATTAAACTCTAAAACCAAGTAAGTGCTAAACGAACAAAACGGATTATAAGTAACGCCTTGAAACCAATAGTAAAAAGAGGTGGTATAAGTTAAAGTATCATATTGATCATGAAGTACTTTCTATTTTGTGTTTGGCTGTCTTGGTAGTAAGTAAAATACGTATGTGTTCAATGTTTTTCGTAATTATTCTGTTATTTATAATTTTATGAATTTTTGAGATCAACTTGGTTAATAAAAATAGATACACTCCGTATATTTATCGGAGTCTTTCCGACTCTGCCAGTTCCAGGGGAGTCATAGAGCGATAGGAGAGTGTGAACACAATCTAACAGATAACGAACTGACATCTCATGTTGTTTTGACCTAACTGCAATTATTGATGAAACCTAAAGCAGTGCTCAAATAACTCAAATATTTCAGTGTAAAAGATAGTCTTTAGAACTAACATGTGTGTGAATCAAATTGGAACATTTGATCACGGTTTGCTCTTCTACCTTCATTACAGGATCACAGCCATGAAGAACAAAGCGGTTAAGTCCAATGTGTTTGCCATCGATTTAGTCATCATGCAGATCTGCTTCCCACTGATCTCGGGTTTCACCGGTTGGCCGTTTGTGTCCGGAGCCACAGTTCGAACAATGAGTAACCTAGTTGCTTTGGTCAAAATGGATCATGAACCAGCTCCGGGTATGCCCCATCGGTAAGGCATTGACCAACTGGTATCGCACAGAGGAGGGGAACTATTTTCTCAGCTAAGCATAAAAACATGGTGGTACACAGGGATGCACGCAGTGTGTTTATTCTGTTTGTTATTTATATGTAGTCTGTAGTAGTAAAATCATTTATCAACAAACGCTGCTGCGCAACTAATTTTCAGATCATAACACATATATACACAACGTGCTATCACTGTCTGAGAAGCTTTAAATACGCGGTTTCTCAGTCAATTAAAACATTTGTTCAATGCGTTCGCTTACAAAGACAGAAAAATTGTTTTTGAATCTCTTTTAGTCTACTGGTTTTATTATTTAAAACATAAATGTACTGAAAATCTGGAAAAAAGTGGAGGAAACTAGTCAAAGTACTGTTATGCTACATGAAGAAAAAAAGAGATAATACGTCTAAACACCCACACATGAGTGTGGTGGTTGTGACGAAAACCGTTTGATCACTACCGTCCATGATTTTAAGGCCGCTCAGAAGCTAAGTTGGGAACGAAACTCATCTGAGTAAAACATTTTTTAATCATCACAACAGACATTTTCGATTAATATCAGTAATGTCAGTAATAACGCATATCTATTATCGTTGCTTGTTTGCTTTTATGCAAATGTATGCGTTTTATCGTCAATTCTGCTAAAGGTTGTCCAGAAGAAACTCCATGGTTCGGTTGGTAGAGTGATGCTTGTTCTTCTTTTGCGTTGCGCTTAATTTAATTAACACAAGCATGATCAGTTTCTTCAGTAACACGGATTTTGAGACTCGGGAGGGGAGGCGGTTACTATTTTTGGTTTGTTAGCATGGGTGTTTAATTGGTGATCGCAATAAATGCTTAGGGGCGCTTTCTCCACATAACAAAAGTTAGGCCAATTATTTTGTCCAGTGAAACGTTGTTGATCGAGTCACAACACGTTATCTGAGAGTGAGAGCAAATCTGAGGTAACCTAAGAGATCATTTGTGTCTTATCGAGTGGGGTGTGTGAAGGCGCACTATAATATATTCGACCAGGCCGTGTACGTGTGGGTCTGACCTGGCATCGATGCAACCTAAATCCAGGAGCGAAACGCGAGTGAGAGCGTTTTGGTAATTAACTTACCAAATCATGCTTCAGCACAGTGTTCACTGATCACTGTAGGCAATGGGTTTCGATGTGAACTTTGGTGTTGGGTGTAGACTTATCAACTCAGGACGTTTGTATCATGGAATTTTCTAATTGTTTCGAAATGCTTTTTAATTTTCCGTTCTATTTTGCCATCATCATTAATCTCAAGGGAATATAAATTCAAGTTTTCAGTAGCGGTAAACCAATTTCTTTCGTTCCCCTGGGGTAAACAAGTTATGCAGTGCTTTGTTTTAGCGCAAGTAACAAATCAGCACATTGCCACCTTTTATTTGTTTCAGCATTCAACTTTGTCATGGTTTTAGACCACTGGATAGAAATGGTTTTTATTTAACAACAACAACAACAACTAAAACAATAACATCAACTGGATTGTGGTCAATCCTGTTTTCGATGGGTCCAATCAGATAAAGCCCATAAACCTTTTTGCCGAAATTTCATATAAGCAAACCTAAATACGGAAAAAATTTGGTTCCATCAACCCTCCGGTAAATGCACGTGAAAACTGCCTGGTTGTATGTGAGTCCAAATAGAGCAAATGTTTTCAATTGGAACTACTAATCTACGTCAAACACTGAACCACAGTGGTATAGATAGAATCATGATAAGGCACAAGAACTTGAAATACATGTGTGCTATGATAACTGCGCAGATTTTCTCAAATTTGTGCTCTTCTTTGTAGCTTCTCGAGTAAAATCTCTGTAAAGAGTATCTATTTGTTTGTTCACCTCAGATATCCTCAGCATTTAGACTTTTAACATAACGTTCTCAGGTTTAAACCTTCTCTCATTAAGAACTAAATTGTACATCAAAACGGGACTGTCCGCAGAATTACTTTTTACAATAACTTGTAGTATACGGAAACCAGTGGGCTATTGAAACATAAGGTTTTAAAGTTGGTGATAAATTCCCATTGTATTATCATTCATTATTTGAAAAACTGTGCAAGTATTTTGTTCCGCAAAATACAGTCTTAGGTTTACGAGGGTTTTCGAAAGTATGTGGTTTAATTTTAGTAAAATACTGATTGTATTGATTGCAGGTAAAATGATTTTTGCTATTCACGCGTCCATTTATTCTTAACATTTGCATTTATGCCCTTCTCCCTTTTAAATTACAGCGTCATTGGTACGGTGGAACAGAGGGTTAGTGGAATTTTGGTCGGGACTTTAGTCGCTGCATCCGTTTTCCTCGGCTCTATACTGGGGTACATCCCTTTGGCAGCCTTATACGGAATGTTTCTGTACATGGGTGTTATGGGACTGCGAGATTTGCAATTCTTCCAACGATTCCTCGCGTTACTGAAACGGAGAAAGCATTGGGAAGATTGGGAGTGTGTTCGTGGATTGCCTAGCCAGCACATTTTGGTATTTGCATCTATCCAAGCCCTGGTCATTGCCATTCTTGTTGCTCTGAATGTGGTATCGGAATTCACCACGGCCTCTTATGCAGGCATCATCTTCCCACTGATAATTCTGATTTACGGTATCCTACGCGAGTTGGCTTTGCCTAAGTGGACATGGTTGGCACTCTACTTGCATCAGGTGGGTTGAATGGATTAGATAGACCTGAGTGTTGTCCCTTACTGCCTTTACCACTAAATACTGATGCTCATTTCTCAGGTTGCTTGTCGCTTGTTGTGAACTGGAATGAAACTCATCGAATTCGGTTTCCTCAGTGAACCATTACTGCTTTTTCTATAAGCAGTCAGAATGTGTAATTTCAGTCGCATAGCCCGTCATTTGTCGAACACGGATGACTGTGCCGACGATATGTGGATGCGGAAAGAAGCGTGATCACCTGTTCATCATATGATAGTTTGATAGAATAATTAGTTGGTTGTTGAATCTCTGGTTAACCTCAATCATGCCATTAAGTCCAACTATTTGATCATATAATTTCTGGCTAATTGGAAAACTAGGACAACTACAAATATGCCATAAAATGTTTTGAGCACAAGAAAACCTACTCAATTATATTAACTCTCTGCAAATTTACCAATGATAGTCACTAATTTTGTGATCGTGTTCCCGGTAAATGTATCAATGTAGATTGCAACTTTTTTATTAACCAAGAAAAACAAACACAATCTCGGTTGTGTGTTTGCACAGAATAAATATGGGTGGGAGGATCAGCGAGAAAACTTGAATCTGTTACCGTTTTTTCTGTGTAGTTATCTCGAGCTATGAAACCAGCTTTTGAAACCATTATTGCCATCAGGTGAAAACTCTACAGTGCTCAGAATAAAAGTCACTGCTATGCGGACTATTTTCGTTGATCAATTGTCGAAACTAACTAGATGGTAGACAGTTAGCAGCTGCATTGTTTTTTGTATTTTCACGAATCAAAGTTTGGAATTGTTGAAGTAATACGAAGTATTGAAGCTGTTTTTTTCATTTATCCATTGACGATCTAATGGTCTTTAAACTTTTGTGGTACTCTTGTGCGCCTAAGCAAAAGAAAGTTTGAAGTTAATTAATAATTCTCATTATCAATACCCTTAGGTGAAATTTTGAGTTTACGTGTTGTATCCTATTGGTGTGCTCAAAGAGATTGTAGAACAGTCCGAGTATGTCCTGAAGTAAGGCAAAAAGAGAGTGACAAGTGAATGCGTTCAGATAGGCTGTTTTATGTGTCCCGACCGGGGACTTATGGGTCAACGATTAGAAACTTTGAGTAATGGGGCTAATGGGTGTAAACAGTGAAGTCCCAACTTTTCATTTTACGTTTATATTTATTACATTTCCGTTGTATACGTTGATAATAAAATCGTTCTATTTACTAAAGTTCCTTTATTCATTCAAACACTATCAGTGGAAACAAGAAAACGGGAGAGTGTTGCTAATAATTGTACAGATTGACTTCAATACCATGCTCGCTTTTAGTTAAACATGTACTACGAAAGTTTTCTTTTCCAATTTTGGTGTATCTTTAAATTGTATTTTCGAATCAAATGATTTATGTTTACCACATCAAATAATACTCAGTTCTCAATTAAAATGGGAATTTAGTATGTAGCATCTCTATATCTGCTATATGGTTTTAATTCGGCTGTCATCTACTTGAAATAACTTTGTCAGCCTTGTTTATGTTTTTACGAGAGTGATTATATTTAACTTTGCATTGCGTTATCACCCCACAGCTTGACCGAAAGTATAAACTAAATCCACCAGCTCCCAAAGCCCCGGGAACTGCTTCTCGCAGTATGTCTGTGGTCAAAAAGGACAGTGTGACCAGCTTCGGTTCCGCAATAGCCGGTAAAGACGACGCGGATACGGACTTCGACGGTGAGACGGATTCGACTGCCGAGTACGATTTACACCGCGAAGGCATAATCCGGCAAACATGGGCAACATAAGCTGGATTCCATCAATCCGTGTACATGTTTGTGTTGTCTGCCTCATCAAGCCGGCCTAAAGCAGTTCACGTTGAGCCGTGCCTGTTGCCTAAATGAATTGCATATACATATATATAAATAAACCGCGTGCCAAGGTGAACGCGACTAACGGGGTTATAACTGTAGTCAAATAGGACAACTGAGTCAGCGGTCATTCCATCACTCGTGCACATTTACACATGCACACAAGAAGCATAAAACGCCAGATCACACATTCTATACCCTCTCCCTAATCAATCTGAAGTACTGCAAAGCACGAACAAATACTTTTTTAATGGAACAGAGCACAATTTGCCAAATTCAATGATTTTTCATTTTCTCATCCCCTTCAGTATTCATATTTTATATCTACACATACTGTTGACTGCCCATTCTCCTCCTGAAACCACTTTATACACCACGATTTTACATTCCTTGCAATTTTGATCACGATCGCATTTTTTGAAACAAACAGATCTCCATACAACATTTCCTGATTTTACGCTCCAGCAATGCGCTTGAAAATTTTACACATGGTTAGCAGGTGAAAAGCAGCTGACTAAAATATTTTAATTCTTTTATTCAGGTAAAACTGATTTAATTCTTTCATCTTTGATCACGCACACACCCCCATCTCCTGTTTCTATCCCAGGCACCATAAAGAGAATCCCACACTTCTTCCCAGGGCAATATCAAACACAAGCAATTTCAACATTTGATTTTGTACTATTTTTTCAGGTTCGATGAGCCAGGTATTTTTTACTGGTGAACTATAAATTTCTCTCTATAAATCTTAAACGAACGTTCAATAGATCGAAATAATATGGATTAAATTCACAGTCATATTGCTAAAATCCTTGGACTTGTCAATGGGATTTGTTCCGGTTGCAATTAATCGAAACAGATCCTCTCTAAACCGATCACTTCACAGATTAGAATTCATCACACCGGACTGGACGATGAGTGGTGCATCCAGTCTTGATAAACCAAGAAACACGTTCCAAAGCACGATTTAAGCAAAAACTGGGACTCCGCAGGATAGCACTGTACTGAAAATATGAGTCTACGTGGACTTCGGTATCTGTGCAACAACTTAGACCTAACTGAAATATTTCTGACCTAATTCACACATCCATTTTTCTAGGTAATGACTTTCAGCTTGGAAGCGAAAGATTGCAGTTCCAGTCCTGACACAAACACCAAATTGTATGCACTGCTCTCAAGTCCAAACGAGAGAGAAGGTAGATGTCTACTGCTGTTCGCCAGTCACTGCACCAGTCTATCGCAATGCCGCATGTGAGCTGACGAACTCCCACACAGTGTGACCTTATTCCGAACAAGGTTACGCGGAGCATGATTTCTGTGCTGTAGAATGCGCCATACAAGATAACTTGGGAAAGCTATTGACATTTAATTTCAGCGAAAGTTCAACAAGGTTTTATCCCAAATTAGCTACTCATGAAACCTAAGTTGTTGAAACGATTGTTTCCTTCATTAGTCAGACTGTGAGCTTGGTTAGATATCAACGAGTTTCTGCATTTAGGAGTCTGACAAAATAAACTAATGGTTCTATGCGGGGCCAGATTGCGATTGGTATGAACTTACGCCGGTATGTTTTGAGTGGCTGTAAACAGATAAAATTTTAAAAGGTAAATTCGCCATGTATATGGCAAATGAAGCATAAACTGAAAAGCTAGGAAGCACTGGACAGTTGTTTCGACCTGTTTGGGCCTCATCAGCAGTGCAAATCCTTCTACTCTACTGGGGATCGAAACGGGGACCTCACAGGCAGAAAACAAGCATGCTATCCACTAGGCCACCGGGAAGCTGATCACACCGTTCTCTTTCATTTTCCATTCACACGATATAGCAAAACCCATCTTTGTGAGTTTGTTGCAGGCCACAGACCCCGCTCATCTAAACACTAGCCTCCGGGGTTATGGCTCGTTTGGAAACAGTTACAACCTGAGTACTTATTTCATGTAAGCAATGGAGGATTTGATTCAATTTCAAAGGGGATCCCCAGAAAATGAAAAACGGTTCGATCAACTGCCCAGTGGCCCAGTGGGTTGCACGCTTTCGTTCTGTCTGTGATGCCCCGGATTCAATCTCCGGTAGAGTCGATGGATTCGCACTGCTAATGAGAACCAAAAGAGTGCTTCCTAGCTCTTCAGTTAACGTTTAATTTGCCATATACATGACGAATTTACCAATTGAAATTGAATCAAATCCTCCATTACTCACATGAGATAAAATTTCGCGTGCACTGTTTGGACAGATATCATCACAGCCGTCACAACTATTATCAAATCAGAAAGAGGAAGCAGATAACGACGTTTACTCCGCAGTAGTTTTAAGGCAGCCGTTACACCAAACGGAAGTAAATGACAGAAGCTTAATTTTGAACAAGCCACTGTAAGTGATCCTTACCAAATTGATACCATCTTAGCATTGTGATCGAAAACCCTTTCCTGGGTTTACGAACAATAACAACAGATCCACCCGAGAGTGAAACTGAAGGGCTTCACAGGACTGGCTTCTCTCGCGTATTTTCCTTTGACCCGCTTATTATCCACCGGTGACGGGTAGCGATTCACTAAGAGGTCACCTTTGATGTGGTAATAAAGATTGTCCGGACGAACACCCCGAGGGCAGAGAGCATATAATAAAATGGATACGTTAGTGTTTAAAGTTTCAATAACAAACCGATTGAAAATAGAAATGACAGTATCAACGGCCTAGTTCAACTAACAAACATCGCAGTTGAAGATAGGTCACCAATTTGGGATTTACAAAGAAAAAGCGATAGAACGTTGCCTTCTGGTATACCCATTCAGAAATATAAATGGTGCCAAGAAAATGAATGATATGCACCGAAATGTCTACACGCGATATTATTGATCTATCACCAAAAGCTGGACGAGCTGTCGTGTGATCTGTGGATAAAATCTTAAAAGCTTATCGACAGGACACTAAGGAAATCAAGAATTTAACCGACAACAGTACAACAGAATCAATATCATACCACGAAAAGAGAACAAGATGCCATTTTTGTCAAAATGATTATATTCATAACCAGCTTCATTTTATTTTGATAAGGAAATCGCGTACTTTGCATTTCTTTTCCATTTGGATTTACTACATGCACATAAACATACATATACATATATGCATCTTTAAAGAAAACTACTATCGAACAAAGTTAAATTGTTTGGTCGTGTGCAAGTTACTCTTTCTTTGTTCGGGATCAGACAGGATTCATCCCCACTTATGAAAAGAAACTTCAACATTGAGCAAATGTATACTCAGGACCAAATAGAATCTAAATAAGCATTACTTTTAAGGACTGGATGATATATCATTTCGTAAATTCGGATACGAGTTAGGTACGTTGCAGATGTTCCAACATAGATATCTAACACAAATCGCACGGGTAAGTGTATTGGTCGATCATTTCAGATATTTGCGTCGATCTCTAACCGTTTTACAAGTTTTCAACATCATATACTGGGGACGCCTGTCTGTTAGCTTGTGGTATATATATAGCTCGTTCAGATTTGTCAGATATACATGTCTATGTCTATGTCTATGAAACTTCCTTTTTATTTATTGAATATACAAATGTACAGTCAACTTTCAGGAAGGAGGCTGCGGCCATACAAAAGCGGCCTGGGGAAATACGGAACTAGGGAAGACGGGTGGTGGAGTAGCGGTTCGAACCCGGAACTTTCGGGTCACGATTTGGTGACCTAGCGGCTTGGCCACAAATCCGCCAGCCATCACCGGTTAGTGAACAACCATGGTCGCAACGATTACCCAACAGTACTAATCACGAAAAGTGTAGTTGTTTTCTGATGTGAATGATGTGGAATGATGTGTTTGTTCAACCTTAGAGTTTGTGATATGTGAAATTAAAGTGGTTGATTGATTGTGATAACGTTAGCACAGTTGGTGTAGCTCTGAAATTTGAGATCCTGTTCTCCCCCAGCTTTTCATTTACCCATCTACATAGCACACGTTACCGTTTGATAAACAGAAGTAACGACACACTGGGACCCATCACCAATTTACCACAAAATCCCGTACTTTCTGCAAACTGATTAAAAAGGGCTTCGTTGGCCACCGTCGAAAAGACATGCTCCTTGCCACATTTCACATGAAGAGAAAAATTGTGGCCCAAAAGTTGTTTAACCTCCGCACCATATTTGTATGCATGTGTGCAAAACAATCCAATCCCCTTGCATGCATCTAACTTGCTATCTCGTTCCTCATCATATTTCGGATGAAAATCTCCTGCGAAGGGGCTGTTTTGTTTATGTATGTCTTGAAATTGGCATCATTGATCAGTGGTGAGTTTAAGTAACTTCTTCGTTTGTAACTTGGGTCCTTGATTATTCATCTTTAGGCTGATTGGTTTTGCGTGGACAAAAACACCAGCCTCGATTATTTCTTCTCTGCTTGTCTCCCGAACCGAGTTTGTGTTGTCCCCAATGACGGATAACCATGTGGGTAGGAGTTGAAGTGCTATGAACAGAATTAAACTGTGGCCAAATCAGTCTTGCGCTGAAGCGTGTGTGCTTCAATTTGTTCGTTTTGCGGGAGCGCGGTTGGATACGTCCCATCACTGTCGAGTCGAGGGCCAGGCCACATGTGTTCTGTTTCT